GCAAACTGGGAATCCTTCCAGACTCTTATTTTGAAAACATGTAAGTAAATTGGAGAGTTAGAGAAGGAACCATGGAAAGAAAGGGAGTATATACTGGGTAAAGGAAACAAATATTTGTTTGCTTGTGAAGTACCAGTTCTTCTCCCCACCACCAGTAAACACCTTAAAATTTAGTAAAGGGAAGAAGGTTTGCAGTCAAAAGCAGCCCTAGAACAGATGATCAACCCAGGGGGATGTCCACGATTTCACTTGCTATCCCAGATGCCACAAAACACTCTTGGTACCTTGGGACTAATCTACATCTATTTCATAGGAGATCAGAAAGTATAGAAAACAAACTTCTGCAGAAAAGCATCAGATATAAACATCAAGAATATTTTCTCTTTTCCTAGATTCCTTCAACAGAAGATATTTTATACATGAAGACGGTAACTTTGTAAAAATAAGAGGTAGTCCCTGAAAGCAGACCCCTGTGCCACATTAGAATAGAGACTCTAAAGGTCCATGCCAATAATGGTACCAAACTCTCCAAAAATGCAATATTCTCTGGTCAGTCTGTGAATTATTTCCCATGCCCAGACTGGCTCCCATCACACAACTGTGGGCAATACTCCAGAATGTTCCATAACTGGATGGGGAAGACACATTCCAAGAGTGATATAATCCTGGTGGAAAAGCAAAGGTACTCTGACCAAAAAAAACCTGAAATGAGCTGGGATTCAGCATGCAAACACTTACCTGTTCCACCTGGGAGAGGAGAGAGGACACAGCTCTGAGGATCCAGGGTGTGGGGTGACAGGGACACGCAGGAACAGAGAGCTCCTCTGCTCTGGGACAGCACAAGGGGAGTTACTGCAAAACATCTCAGTGCCTTTTCATACGGGTGCAGTTGAACTTCATTAATTAGGAGATGCCTTCAAGGCTACCCTCCCACTGCCTCTAATCCTGTACTCAAGCACCCAACACGGATCTTCCTGCCCCCTTCACTGCCTTTTGCTCAAGAATTGCATCCTCCAGAGACAAAAATCTGTTCTAGATCCTTTTCTTCTCCCAGAGTTCTCACAAAACTCTTCCCACATAGCCTGGCCTTTGAGTTCTACTCTTCATTCAGATCTGGAAACCCTGAGGTTCAGTGAGACTCTCCCACTTTGCCTGGTTTTGCATCACTTGGAAAAACCTAAACTGCTTGCATAAATTCAAGTGGTTAATTTGGCTGACACAAGCTGACAATCAGGTTTGCCTGAACCCTTCTCCTCCATAGCTGTGAAAGAGAAGCTGAGCTTCAACAGCCTTTTAAACACTGGTTAAATAGGTCTGGTCAGCAGAAGGGGACTCTGCCTCCTCCCCAGCCCCTTCAGAGGCTCCTGCACCTTGCTGCTCACTCAACTCAGCCCACCTAGCATCAAATCCCTCTGCCAAAGCCCCCAAAAGCATAACCAGCACTGAGACGTGACATGGATCACCTGGGAACAGGAATGTTTTCCATCATCCTAGCTCTATGGGGATGACCCCACAGGTCACACCACAGGGCTTATTATGGTTTCTTTAGGTCGCACCTTCTCAATAGAATTATTGGTCTTGTCCTGGTTCCCAAAGACAGAGCAGATTAACTGGTTCAGATGTGGATTCTTACAAAGCAAATCACTTCCCACCTGAAGAGAATTTCCCTTCCAAAAATTGTTGATTAATATTTGGGTTGAATTTGTCTGCCTAAAAATGGTACAAAATTAAAACATCTTTCCCCTTTTTGGTTCTCGATGCACAGGAAAAAAATCCACATGAGTGTGGGCTATTGCTTCATTTGCCTTAATGAATATTTCACATGGCTGTATTTAACATACCTTTAAACCTTTGTGAGAAGGAGTGGGAATGCTGAGAAAGTGTGATACAGCACAAATCTTCTTAAATCTTAGAGACAGGCTCCAATTTGTGGCCTATCCAAAGAGCGACTCTTGCACCATCACCTTCTGTGCTTTTAGAAGAAATAGTGAATACTTACATGGGTATCAAATTTAGTTCCACAATTTTTACAGAGAAATTAAATTTAGGACTATTTTATTTAAAGAGTCAAAATGTCGCAATTCCAGAAGGAAATAAACTTTTTTAGGAGTCTGAATCTCAAGAAAAAATAAAAAATTCAAGAGTAAGGAATGAAGTCTAATCCAAAAGTGAAGGTTAGTACACTGATTTTCAAAATTACAACACTAAGAATGAAGGAAAGTGCTGCTTCTCTACAAGTCTATCACTCCTAACAGCTGATATATCAATGATGTACACTGACAATCTTGTTTCTAAGACTGGTAGCTAAATAGAAAATATCTTTAGGAATTTGCCAAATTTCATTACATAAACCCAAAATTATCTTTACGAGGACTCAACATAATCAAAACTGGGAAAGTTATTTTTATACCACTACAAGAATTACAAACATCCTGTACGGACTCCAATATTCATTTCCTCCAGTAGCTGTAGCAAGTCAGAGACTTCAAGGATAAACCTTTAAGAGCAGGGAAAACAGTTTCAGGAATAGTGCATGCCCAGAGTTTAGCTGTGCTTACAGTAAAACAGATCGACTTTTGAGTCATTCTTTTCCTCCATGCTATTCTTTATTCAGAGCCTGATGTTCTCATATGATTTAGTAAAGTTATAAAAAAGCATGAAATATTTCTCTTGGGTGCTGACAACACTAGACAGACTTGATGGAAGTCTCTCCTTCTCCTCTGCCTGAAATGAATATTTCCTCTCTCTTCCTTTGCCTCTCTCTGACAGGGAGAAACCACATCATAGCCCTGTTACAGAATATTATTTCCTTCTGGTTATAGAAGGCCATGGGTTCTGCTGCACATAAAAGTGGATGTGTCAAATACATGTTTTCACCATTAACTCTATTTCCATTTTTAAATGGTCACATTTAATTTGAACTCTAGAGAAAATAAATAGCTGTTATGCTAAAACAGCTCAGATTCTCCATTTGTTTGTCTTGCATAGAAATTGCTCTGTACCTGAATTAAATAAGGTTAAAAAGGTTTTTTAGCTTATACTAATAGGCATCACCACATTTCTTCCACTTTGTATACCACTAAACTTCATGACATAGCACTCAGAGCAGCACCACTCTTACATGAAGGAGCTGAATAGAAACACACCTGGAGCATCTTCCATCAGGACGTTCCAAGGCTGGTTTTTGGCTACCTCTGTGTTTGGCCAAAGAAGGCCATTTCTGCACCATTCAGGCAACAAATGGGTTTGTGTGCCCTTGTCTCAGCAGCACAGAAACACTCCTCCCTTCTGGCTGAACTGCAGGTTTTACCCTCAGATGAGCTGAAATTCCCAAACACCAGAGAGAGAAGGTCAAATGACAGAAGAGACAAAAGGTACAGTGGATGAGCAAAGTGCAGTTGTGCAGCTCTGGTGCCAAATGGACATTAAGTGTCAGCAATAGAAATGGCAAACACAGGAGGAAAAGCAAGAAATAGTCTTCTGGCTTGCTTGAGACACTAAAGAGTATCAGTTGACACTCGGAAGATAGATGGCTCGGGGGAAGAATTGTAGTCTGAGAGAAATCCACAAAAAATCTGAAATCAGATGGATAACAAATGGGTGTACAGAAATATCAAAAGCTAGAGCTCAAAGTGCATTTGAGGCATTATTACTGTTCCGATTCCATAAATGATTCTAGATCCTGAAACTTGGCTTTCAAGACAGTCTCACTTTACAGTTGCCTGGTGAGAAGGTGGATAATGTTTAGAAACTTTTGAGAGGAACTGAACTAGGCAATGTGGTACCTGGTATTTTCCCTCAGATAACATCAGGATCACAGCTGGGAATCTTATCTTTCTACAAATTCCATGTACAGTGATATTTGGGGTGGGGGAGAGGCCAGAAATGAAATCACAAGGTGACTAAATGAGGCAAGGAGTTAAGCCCCTAAGATGCAGTGGATGTGAAGCACAAGCCCACAGCTTTGAACACCAACTCACCCCCATGCAGAATTACTGCTCATAAACAGATCCCAGGGCCACGTGCCAGCCAGGAAATACACTCCTGGTTATGCAAACAGCCAGCAAAAGTTCAGAGAACGTGTGCAAGCAGGAATGACTCCAAAGATCAGGATCCTGGCACATTCAGGGAAAAAGCCCAACCTCAGACTGAGCTGATGGAACTGGGCCCTGGAGAAAGGGAGGTGAAGGGACAGCTCACCCAACCCTGATCCAAAGCTGGCATTGTACCGAGGGACTGAAAGTCTGACCCCCAACTGAGGGCGAGAAATAAGAGATTTATCATGGAGGTTAAGAGTATACATAGAAGAGGAAGAAAAACAGTGAGAAGTATGAAAATGTCTCAGGTGCTATCCAGAGTAGTTGTGCCACCTCCTGTAGAGGTGTTTGTACCTTCCCAAGAACTGCAAGGTCAGGGAATCATCAGGCTTGCCTATGAATGGGGTTGTAAGGAATTAAACAGAATCCTTTCTCTAAAAGAATATACCAACCTTCCAGGTTACCTTCATGGTCAGAGTAGCCAGTAAAATAACTACAGATTCTGTGCTAGAATATTAATTTGCAAAATATAGAGGAAAATCATTAGGAGTCTGCAGAGGCTGTGCCAGTGTTCCAGCCTTGTGTTCAGCCTTGAACACAGATAAGCATTAATTTTGATCAATGGCACCTTAAAGAAATTCCTGGTTTTTTAGATAGGGAGAGAAACCATAGAGATTTATGAACCAGAACATAAAGATCCATTTTGGGTGGCACTATTTTTCTTTTATAATTAATGGTTACTGATCAAAAGGAAAGTTTAAAATTGCAATACACCCTTTATTGCATCCAGCTGTCGTAAGCTGCAAGATAATTTATCTCCATCTCGGCTGTAGAACCATGGAATTGTTAAGGGTGGAAAAGACCTCTTAAGATCACTGAGTCCAAGCACTAACCCACCATGGTGTTGAAGGTTTTATTGCAGTCTGGGTAGACAACATCCTCAGCCCTTTCCCTCAGCCCCTGGGCAGGTCTCAGGAGATCAGGCTGGTCAGGCAGGACCTGCCCTTCACACCCTGTGCTGGCTGGGCCTGATGCCCTGGTTCTCCTGCAATCCCCCTCAAGATGGTATCTCCATAAAATTCCTTGGCATCACTCTGACAGGTGTGTGTACCTCATTTCTGGCAAACCTGCAAAGAAAAGAGAACAAAAGTATTAAACAGGCCCCTGGGACATGCAAGAGGTACAGCCCAAAGTGACAGCCTCTGCTCTGGGAGTACAGCACCTTGAGATACCCCTTCCTACAGGACAGGCATAAACCAGAGGGATGAATCAGCCTTACACCCTTTGATGAGTCATTTAAATAAATTGCACTCCATTATTTCCTATTTAAACTAGTAAATTACTCCATCTATAGGAAACGGTGTTAATTGGGGGAAGTATTCAAGTTGTCTCTAATCCATTTACAAGGAAGGCAGAAAAAATTGCTGCAGAGTTCACACACCTGGTGGTGCTTTGCCCTGCTTTCCTGTATGACCACATTCCTTCAGGCAAGTGCTGTCCCATGCTGCTCCCTCACAGCTCACTTGGTGATTGCTTAGCAAACAGCTTCTCCTTTAACTACTGCCCCATACTAATTATGGCAGCAAATAATGAACAAGCATTTCCCTTCTGCTGAGCTGGGCATGCTGCAGACACAGCCAATATATTTTTTTTTCTGGTTGCAAAGAAATTCCTGTCCTTCTAGACAAGCAGGAAAACCACGAAGATTTATGTACCAGGAGGGAAAAAAATCCATTTTGAGCTGCACTATTTTTCTCTTATAATAGATTATTAGTTGCCTTTCAGCCCTGCCCTTGCTTATTAGCTATGGCTCAGGCCATGAGGCAGCAAGTGGGTTTGGAACCAGAGCTGTGATAAAACTTTGCTTTCCAGTCACTTCCTGAGGTTTTTTCAGTGTCATTTTAGGCAAGAAGCATTCAAACACTTGAGGAGTTTATCCCAAGGGAATTAGGCTCTTTATAAAGAGTTTCTTAGTTGTCTCTAGAGAAATCCTTAGCCACAAAAAGGAAGTTTCCTCTACCTCCATGCTTTTGTAACTTACCTGTAATGGAAGGGTCCTTTTCTTGTTGCTTTTTATTCAGGTTTCAAGGATTGGTTAGGGAATGGTTGCATGCTGTGTTTGAAGCTGTAATGACAATATGACAGCACTGAAGTAAAGCACATATGCTCCAAAGCCAGACTGATTTCTGCTATGCCTTTAATTCATCCTCAAAGAGAGGCTTAAAAAAAGTCTATTAATTTCCTCTAAACACCATGCAATTCAACCGAAACTTACTGGATATGTCTAGGAAAGTTTGTGTCACTCCCACCCAGCCCAGCTCCTCCAGGAGCAAAGCACAAAAGCCATCGAGTCCTGCTGGGTGAATCCCCACCAGCCTTTCCCCGCAGCAGGACTCAGCTCAGTCGAGCATCACACCTGGCACAGCTCTCAGGGACTCGTTCCTGACGCTGCTTTAGGACAAAATCCTGTTTGGATTTTGCTGCCTCACTGTGGCCATGGGCAGCAAAGATCTCAAGGCCAGATGCTGCAACTCAGACAACTCCACAGCTACACAGACTCCAGACTTTGTATTTTCTTACACAAGTGGTTCATGTCGCTTATTTTCAGGCAAAATTAGATATTATCAAGGAAATATACTTTTTTTTTTCTGATGAGAAATCTGAGAAATTAGGGCCTGAGCATGAGCATCCTGGTGAGAATTAATCAAAATATGATATTGGTGGAAGCTTTTGGCATCCCCGAGAAACAATTTTCTGCAGCCATCAGGTGAAAGTGGATCCTAAGGGACCCAAAATGACCACAAAAAAGCGGGGGGGGAAAGTCTTGTCTTTACTGTACAGTTCCTAAATAAGAGCCCTTGTGGTTTTCCTGTAGCAGTTTCTATTCTGTATCCCCTAAATAGTTCAGTATTATCATTCAAATACCAGCAAACCCTCTGCCACCCTCAAGTATAATCATTAAACCACATGGAAATTTTGAGCAAGCCCAAAAACCAAATCAGTTGAGCACAAAAACATTGCAGAGGCAACATAAAACACAAAAAACTCTCATGTTCCTTCCCAGTGAATATTAACACTGATGGATGAAAAAAAAATCAGCAAAAAATCTTCTTTCAAATCCCATTTTAACTCTGGCATAGAGGCTTGTCCCCATGAAACTGAAAGCAAAGCTCACCCACAGATAACTGCTGACTACAGAGGAGCAGCACAAAGCAAAGGCAGCTTCTCCAGCCCACCCAAATCCCAGTCCTGGGGGCCTGCAGGAGGTGAACTGAAATGCAGAAAATTGCAGGCAGTGAGAGCAGCCAATGTGAGACCTTCCAAGGGCAGCTGCTTCCATCTGACCCCTGAACTTTTGTTTCTGTTTTAACAGCAAATCAAAGCTGTGTGTTTTATAAGCAGCCAGAGCATCCTCCACCTTTGTCAAGCTCCCCCAAAAGTTGTGCAACAACAGTGTGGATAAGATGCTGTTTCAAATCCCCCAAACACAGGGCCTTTATAAGTTGCACCCCCATCCTTCCCATGATTTAGAACAGCCTGAAATGCCCTTTAAATTACACACTGAAATCCTTTAAATGGCTGTGGCACTCCCTCATTTAACCCTGCCAGAGCTTTTTAAGATGATGCCCGTTGCAAGGTCTGATCACTCAAGTATTTCTCCATATATTTTTTTATTCATTGACTGGCCTACAAGAGGTGACAACATCCCTATGTGACTGTCCCAGGATACATAAACACATCCCCTTGCAGATATTCAAATTATCCGTAAGATGGAACTGAAAAAGTCCTGTTTTAAAGCAATCTGGTCCTATTAGTGCTCCCAGCTTTCTGGCAGTTTATCATTTTCCCTGAAAACTAATCAGGCTGCTCCTGTCAAAACAATGGTTTGCATGCAACCTGCAAGCAAATTTTAGGAAAAAAGAAGGAGAAAATAAGATCTTAATTTGCAGAGATCTTCTTAGACTTAAAGCAGCAATTCTGTGCATCCTCTCCCACCTGGCCAATGTTAAAACATGAAAAGTGATGGGTCTGAAATACTATAGAATGCCAAGTGTTTGATCATTAATTCTTTTAGGTTAAATACTGGCTCAAATTCAAAATGGAGGCAGTATATCAGTTACTGCTGAGTTTTTACACTGCATTTTTCAGAGAAAAACTTTCTATTTTGTAGAAAACAACATCTGCAACTTCGCTATGAGTTTTCTCAGCTCTTTTCATCCTACAGGAATGTCAGAATATCTGCAATTATGTATCTAGTGAAAGTGTCTATACAAGCAGACATCTCCATCCAGTAATGTGAGAGCAATGCTTTTTGCATCCTGTCATTTCCAAAAAATGCATGCAGCCCATCAAGATGCCTACAAATGCTTTTTACTGATAAATATTCAGTACTGAGTCATTTTAATAAACATGACAGTGAACACAAGTACCAGTATCCCCAGTACAAAATCAGGTGTTGAAACTCAGAAAAGCTGATTTATATAAGTGTAAGATAGAGAAAAGAACCCCCAAATGTAGCCACTTACTGACCAACAAGAGGGAAATAAATCCATTTTCACTACAAGGTTATAATTCTGCTTTGGCATTAGCTAAACTAGTAATGGGCTGAAGATGGAGAATTTCTTTACAATATTTCCCCAATTAAGAGAAAGAAATTTCTGGGAGATCTGTCCAGCAGGATTACTGGACTCACTTGGTAAAACTAAATTACTTCATTGATCCTCACAGACATGCTCCTTCCTTTTAAAGTCCATGTGAGAGGGAGGCACAAAGGCTGAAAAATTGAAGCCTAGAGGTAGCTGAAAAACAGACTAGAAGGCTTGATTACATTTTCCATCAAGTTACCCTGGTTTATTGCATTGCAGCCCTGGAGAATTTGATTAGCAATTTCTCCTCTTCATTCATCCTCATGTCATCTGGATTTCAAACCTCTGATCTGTATCTGCAAACATGCTAATACAGATCCCAGCTATGTCTTGTCACTACCCACTCCTGACATACCAGAATTTAAGTGTCAGAAACTCCCCTTTATTTGTGGTTAACTGGTGCAAGTTCCCCATGGGCAGAAATAAGGGAGGCCCAGGGCAAACCTGGACTGAAGTCAAAGCAAGGTGCATGAAGCAAGTTTATATATATATATTTAATACGGTGATTGCACAGAATGACATATTAGCTCTAAAAATAGAAGATTTAAAAGTGAATGATGACTTGGCTTTGACACACGTCCTGTATTTAGGTTTGTGCAGTGCACATGGGCACCATCAGGACTCTGACACACACCAAAATGTGCTTCCCAGCAGCAAGGACGATAAAGAGATCAGTGCCCTTGCAGCACACACCATCCCAGAGCAGATGCTGTGATGGAGGCAGTGAAAAATGCAAGTTTAAAGTGCAAATTTAAAGCATAAAAACAGCTCTACCGGGTTATCTGGAGTGCTAATTGCAAAAGGCAAGGAATATCACCAAATAATGTTGTTATCACAGCTCATCTTTGCTTGGGCACATCCCTTTTGCAAGACAGCTAAAGGAAAACTTCCCTACAGGGATGGGTTTGGTTTTGGGTTCTTTTGGTTGGTTGGGGTTTTTTTTAGGCCATTTCAGAGATTTGTACAAAAGTAAATCTTCCATTGCTCTGAACGCTTTCCAGCAGTGTCTTTACAACCCTGTCTCAGCAGTAGCACTGGTGTCGCTCTGCACCGAAGACAAACCCTGTCCCTCAAAAACCACATGGATATAGAAGTTCAGCCTGCTAGGTTACAAAAAAATCCCCATCTGCAGTTCCCCTTGGATCTGGGGCTGCTGCCATGGAGCACACAGAATTCCAGCAGCACAAAGAGAGCTGTGGGAAGCCCAGGGGGCTCCGGCTGAACAAAACTCCAGGAGGGACCACGAGCAGAGCGGTTCTGCAGGTGCTTGGCTGCAGGGAGGATTTGCTTTGCAGAGCCCAAGGAATCACCCAGGAAGGGTGGATGGGGGTGACAGCACCTGCGAAGAGCTGCAGCATCTGCCCAGGAGAGGAGCTGGAGGCTCCGTGCACATCCAGTTCTGCTGGCTGAGCTCTGTGCCAGCAGATGGCACCGGGAGCCCATAAATCCATAACCTGCAGCATCGCAGCTGCTGCCTCCAGCCCTGCAGCCATCCTGCACACACCGATAAGTGGAAATACACCGATAAGTGGAATGATTCTGCGCTAACTCCTGCTCAGGGTTTTTTTCTGCTGCAGCGCCATTTATTTACTTCCTGCCCTTGCTGTGGGAAGGCTGATAATAGCTGTGTACAGAGAGGGAAAAAAAAGGAAGTGGGAATTCAGTGGGCTGCCTGTTGATACGTAGAGAAAGAGGCAAAAATTCTCCTCAGCTAAGCCAGCACTCTGCTCACTTGTCTGTGCAGGTAACATGATGCGAGTTTGGTCTCAGCATACCTGCACATACAGACAGGTGGGGAGACTGGTAAATATTGTGGTTGAATTTTAATTCAATTGTTTTTCTTTATTTGCACTGTATCTAGGCACTTCTTCATGAAAATTTCTCTCCTGTTTACCATGTCATGGAGCACCTGAAACTCAGCTCACATTTCCACAACCTTCTCAGAAAAATGACACCAGTTACTGACAAAAGGTGGGAGGGAATCACATGGCTAAGTACAACAAATATTTTGTTTCTAACTTTGTCCCACAGCAAGAGGCCAGCATAGTTTGCCCAGCAAAATCTCTAAAAACTGTTCCCAGCAATTGCTTCAGAGGCTGGGGTATGGGAAAATGCTGCCTTGGTGACAGCAAAGGGAAACACTGGGGAACAGAAGAGAGCAGCTGTGATTGCAGGGCTAAGCCTTGGCCACGACAAACTGTACTTGCAATATCCCTGAATTTCTGGATTTTATCCATTCCAGGTACTGCTCTGTAGTCCTCACCTCCAAATCATGTAAATTTTCCTCCAAATCTAAGGCCTTTTCCTCACGTTACTATTTCCTTCTATAGATTGCTCAGAGGGCTTCCAGTTTTAAGAACAGCAATATTTTCATTTGCTGCTGCATACCTCCTTCCAGAGCCATGTCTTGGGGCTTTTAGGAGTGTGCCTGAGCAAACATGACTCTTTATATAGACTTCAAGAAGAGGTAACTCGAGTA